TCCCCATGGATTGATCTGTTCACTTATTTTACTTTATTTTGGAGACAAGTCTCACTCCTGGCTGGCGTGGAACTCACAGAGATCTGCCTGCCTCTGCCTCCTGAGTGCTGATATCATACTTGGCTACTGTAAAAAAAATTTTAAATTTTGATTTCATCAGAAAGTTTTATATTTCCCAAGTCATGAATATTTAACATTTGAAGGATGGTGAGATGGCTCTAGGGTGAAGGTGCTGCCACCAAGCCTGATGGCCTGAGTTCAATTCCCCCAGAATACTCATAATGGAAGGAGAGAAAGAACTCATGAAGTTTATCCCGATTTCCACATTGGCATTGTAGCACATGTGCATGCACACACACACACAAAGTAATAATCACTAATGTATAAATTACTGTATTTATTATTATATAATATACAATTTTATTATCTATTTTACATAATTGTATATTGTATACAATTAATATTGTACTATTATTGTAATCAATTATATTGTCATTATTGTTACCATAATTATTGTAATTAATACAATATTGTAGTAATTGTAATATATTATACACAACATATAAGATATTGTATAATTATTGTATATTGTATTCCATTAATATACATTTTATAATCCTATACATTAATGTATAGAATAATAAATGTAATAAAAAGTTTAAAATATTTGATATTTGATTTTGTGTACTAGTAGTTGAGGGTAACTTCAATAGAGGTAGTATGGTTACATTTTATGACCTCATACTTCTGAAAAGTCATTTTCAAACGATGCATACATATATATGATTAAGAATAAACAGGACAAAATTATGGGTAAGAGTATGCATGCACTTTGGTAAGTTAGAAACATATTTATATTTGGTTCTGCCACATTGTACTGGTGAGCTCTAAGTTCAGCGAGGGACCCTGCCTCAATGTATAAAGTGTGAGGTAGAGGATGCCGTGGAAAGACAGAGGGAAGGAACGAACGGGGCCACTAGTAGAAGAAAGAACACCTTTAGGAGCTGACAGAATTCTGAAGGGGCTCCGAAGGTTGGGAAGGCTGAGGAAAGTAAACAAAAGCTAGACGTCGGCAGATATTCCGGAAGAAAAAAGGAGAGGAGGCGGGTGAGCTCGGTATAGGTCTGGATTTATGGTGTGAGAATAACATAGGAGGGGAGAGCTGAAGGACCAAGGGAGGAAAGGCATGGCCACATGTGAGTATGTGCAGCTGGGGACAGAAGAGGCGGTCAGTGGCAATGGGCTAGCTTCATTTATCAATGAGGGCTAATAACGAAACCTTCATTTGGGTTGCTGTATTTTTCCCATAATAAGCTCATATAAATAAGCTCATAACTATTAATACCACTACTATCGATAAATTAGTTGGAAAATAAAGAGTGGCTGAATATGGCACCCTAAAACATTCTACACTGGATCACTATTTTGAAGCAAAGGCAATTGGAAATATACACAAGGAATCCTCTTGCCCCCTGCAAGACCAAAGACTATTTGAGTAAAACCAGGACACAAATTTACAAAAGTCCCCTCCTCTCTTTATCCAGGGGGTGACAACTGAAGACAATTCTAGATGCTCACTGGCCTAAAGAACCCGTCAGAGAAAAAAAAAAAAAAAAGAACCCATCAGAGAAGTCTACATGATAACCTTTACTAAGCAGCCTTTGTCTTCCTTTCCCCATGTGTACTTCCCATACTCACTACTGTAGAATCTCCAAGTTCTTTTTATTTACCTTGTTACTGCTCAATAAGTGTGCTGTTCCCAAAGACGCCCACCAAGCCCAAGTTCTAAGCAGCCCGCTATTGAGTACCCCTGTGTCCTGAGACAGACATGTAATTGTTTGCTTGCTCTTGTTAGCCTGTTAATCAGATCTGCATAGGCCTGGCCAGTGAACCTAGGCTGGGTAGAGGGGAAAATGTTTTTTCCTTTTCTACATTAAATCACAGGTCAGATCATGTTTTGAAATGTTTTGAAAGCTGAGAAAATTCAGAGACCATGTGGAAGGCTACTGGAGTCATTGCATTTTCAGCCAAGTAAACATGATAGTAAGTAATATTGTTTGAACCTCAGTCAAATACATTCATCCTTAACTAAAAAAGGATTCCATCTTTAATTTTCATATTCTAAATACAGTTAAAAGAACAGTTATACAGCATGCCGAGAAAGACACTAAAACTCAGAGCAAAGTCTCTTGTTGCTTTTATTGTCTGTTATTATTTGGCTCCTTAGAACCATGGTGGGAAATTTTTCAAAGAGAAAATCGAAAGCAGACAGCAGACTGTGAGGTTACTGGTAAAGAAAAACATCATTCAGTGATAAGATGAGCAACTCAGAAACAGAACTTGAAAGTTTTGAAAACTACAGGGACTACTGAGGAAGGCTTACTTAAATAACTGCATAATCCAAACACTACAAATAAAAAGCAAAAGGAAGCAGAAATACCTGTGCACACTCAGTTTCGTGTACAATTACCTGAGCTTGTCACCCTCTGAAGACCTGTCAATAAAACACTACACATAGCATTTTCCCTTTATTTCCCATGAATATCAGCTTTACTCCAGAATTGGATCCCAAGTTTGCTTCAAGTCACTTAACATCTCAAGTTTTCAGCAGGTGGGACTGCTCTCCTCCTGTGAGCATCCCCGTCTACTCACACCTCTTGAGTGGAGTTCTAGGTTCAACAAGGGACAAACTGGAATGGTCCTCTGAGAAAACCTTGCCTTCTGGACAATCAAGTCATATCTCAGAAGTGTTTTTCCTAAAGCTGAAAAGTAAACACCTTACTTTCAAACCTCCTCTCACTCCACTGTAGCTTCCCTCTGCAAATGGTCTTTCAATCTGGTTCTCACTCGAAACCTAGCATTTCGGAGCATTTTATCTTTGATGCCAATTTACTAAGTGCTTTCCAACCCGCCACCAAAATACATCTCAAATGTGCCCATTCTCCTTCACCTCTAAAATCCTCTAGAACTTTTATAAAAAACCAATGGCGTTCTTAACCTGAGCAGATGCTAGGACTAGACCAGCCCCACACGGCTCTTGTAGAAGACATGATCCCAAGATTTTGCCTGGTGGCCATGGATCATAGATAGCACAAGCCATCCTGCACTGCTGTGATGAACTCTTCACTGTTCAGTCCACATCCTTGAAGCCCCCCTCCACCATACACCAAAGGTATTATGATTTCTATTTTTTTTAATCTCATGCACATATCTATCTATATTTTTAAGTCACCAATCTGATCATGTCATGCCCTACTTAAAAAAACCCTCAACAGATTTCCATTGCTGCAACCCAAACACATACTGTGGCCAACAAGGTTCATAAGATTTGCTCTTAACTTCCTCTTGATCCTTCCCACCACTCCTTGTTTGGCCCTAACATCTGCCAAGTGACCTCCACACCAAGGCATTGCATAGCAAAGTCTTCACTGACTTAGTTTAGCTAATCCTCCTTTCTTCAGGTTCCAGGTTAGCTGTCACTTCTTCTGGCTGGTTATCCCTGAATCTAAGATCTACAGTAGATTGCCTGCTGGCACTCTTTAATCATACTTCACACACATTTTACAATTATATATCCACTAGTCATTAACTTAACCTATCTCTACCTACTACATTCCGTAAGCTCTACAAGGGCAGATATGGCTGACTTAGTCCGATGTCTTTCATTTATCCAACTTTCTATTTGACAAGTGTATCAGAATTCCCTGTGTCAGTAACACAGTAGACAGTAGGCACACAGGAGAAAACAGATGGGGTCCTTGCTCCTATGAGAGAAGCAGGCAACCAACAAAGTAAACAAGGTAACAAAATGATGACATATTGTGACAAATACAATGGAATACACTGTGAGCTCTTCAAGGGCAAAAAATTCCTCTGTTGCTCATTCTTTTGTTTGTTGATTGGTTGGTTTTGGTTTTGGTTTTCTGAGACAGGGCTTTTCTGTAGCCTTGGCTGGCCTTGAACTCAGAGATCCACCAGCCTCTGCCTGCCACAGCTCGGCTTCTGTTGCTCATTCTTGACATCCATGTCTGCTGCTGAGGATAAAACTAACTGCTAAACATAACTGAACAGTTCCACTTTGATCATGTAAAATCCAAAAGAGGCATTCATAATGATGCTCTACTCAAAGAGTCATTCAGAGGCCCAGACTTCTTCTTTTAATTTGCCTTTCTGCTCTCTTTACTATTGGACCACAGACGGGAAAAGAGAATGGAAGGTAGTTTCTCAAAGTTTTTGTTTGCTTCAATAAGCTAAACCTACTGGCTACATCTAGCAGCAGGGAAGGCTAGAGAATGTTAATGCAGCTATGAACTGAGGCAGAACAGTACATTGATTTGCTGATCTGATAGTACTTACAGAGGAATCTGGCACAACCCTGGCACTACGAAGCAAAGAAAAATTAGAAACGGAGTATGCTCCCCTAATGTATAACAGTGTACATTATGTTTGATAGGAGTATAATGAATCTCTAATTTCCAAGAATCTGATGTTTAAATGAAGGTAGTGGATTTATGGATTTCTCAGGACAAACACATTTTTAATCTATTTGTCCATTTTAATTGTATATCACCCCCAGGTTTTCCATTTTTATTCTCTTTGGCTTTTTGCATGTCCCAAGTCTTGTCACTTTGCAGCGTTTACATCTTTGCGTTTGAATGGCTGCAACAGGATAAGTCCACAGCTAGAGCAATCTAAGGAAAAGAACAGCAAAGGATGTATCCTAACAGGGATCCCATGGTGCTGGAGCCATGCAACAGCGTGCACCTTAAGAGATGTGCCCCAGACCCATTTCCTGGGATTCTTAACGTTTTCGCTCAGAAGGAAGCACTGCAGAACCGTGAATTCTATGGCATTAAAGCAGGCACAGCACGGTCACGAGTATCTGTTTGTACTTAGAGCTTTTCCGTTCTGAAACTGGTTTTCATATTCTGAGCCGAATCTTAGGATTAAAGGTACAGAACCCTGGGGCCCTCTGGGGTACCTGAGTCAGAAGCACTCACCGTAACTTCAGAGTCCATCAGGAAGGACATGAAATCTAAGGCTTACTGACTTAATCCTAGAGAGATCAAAAAGTGAACACACTCTTCAAACCTCATCCATTGGTTTTCAGCTTACGTTTTGCAAAAAAGAGATCCTCCCTGAAGTAAGCGGAGAGGTCGGTCAAAGATAGCAATTTCCTACACCTGGGAAGGAAATTTAGACCCCGTGCGGCAGGCGGAAATCAGGTGCGTCGGAGGGAGCGACGTGGGTGTTTCTGTGGCCCCAGGACCGCGGGGGACTTTGCTCCTAGCGACCAGAAAGTTGGAAAAGCCAGTGTCCGGTGGCCAGGGGTCCTGTCTGCCCGGCCTCGGGAACGCCCGGGGTGCCAGCATCCCGCATCCCAGCCGCCCGCAGGAGCCGAAGCCCCCCACCCCACCCCACCCCACCCCCGCGCCGCGCCGCAGGACGCCCGCCACGCCCCACGCTGCCCTGCAGGCGAACGCGGGAGGCCGCGAGTCCCCGCCGGGCCGCCGTAGAGTTGCGGCTCCGGCCGCTCCTCCCGCGCCGCCCTCCGCCCCTTGCCTCCCGGCGCCGCGGCAGCTCTGGGCTGGCACCGCCGCCGCCGCCGCCGCTTCCTCTCTGCAGCCGTTCGGCCGCTGCGTGACGCGTCGTTTCCTCTCAACATGGCGTCCGGGGCAGGTCGGCGGTGATGGAGGCCGGTCCGCGGCTGCGGCGGGTGCTCGTCCCCACGGTAGCTAGGGCAGCCTCGCGCTCGCCGGGTGTGTGAGGCGCTGCCGCCTAGGCCCTCGGCCCCGGGAAGACGGCCGCCCGGGCCGGGCTCCGCCGCCGCCGCCGCCGCCGCCGGGCCGGAGGGACGAGTGAGGCGGGCGGCCGGGAAGAGACCCCCGGGCCGACAGGCGCCGAGGCCCGACGGGCGCGGCCCCCGAACGGCGGCCCCTCGAGCGCGGCGAGGCTTTCGACGCCCTTGCCGGCCCCGCGGCCGCTCCGTGGCGCCTGCCGCTTCCTGGTGGCGCCGCTGCCCTCCACGCCTCCTCGCCCCCACCGCCACCTCCTCGCCTTTCTCTCTCCCCGTCCCCCTCCTCCGCCTCCCCTCCAGCCGCCCGGACCGCCGCCGCCGCCTCCTCCTCCTCCGCGTCCATGTATGAGGGCAAGAAGACGAAGAACATGTTCCTGACCCGGGCCCTGGAGAAGATTTTGGCCGACAAGGAAGTGAAGAAGGCGCATCACTCCCAGCTGCGCAAAGCGTGCGAGGTGGCCCTAGGTGAGCGGGGAGGAGGCCGCGGTGCGGGCAGGGCGATCGCGGGAGGTGGGCTGGCCCGGGCGGTTCGTCCTGGGAGCCCCCCTCGGCCAGCTCCCTGCCGCCCCGGCCGGAGTTGACAGCAACTCGGCTGGACGCGGGGCACCCGCAGGGTGGAGGAGAAAGGGCGGCCAGGCGGGGCCCCGGGAACTCGAGATGGTTCAGGATCGCGGGGCACCTGGGTTCGAGCGTTCCACTCACTGGACGGAGTGGGGCGGGCGGGGGGGGGGGGGTGCGGATTTTGTTGGTAGCCCTTGCGGTGCGGACAGAATGTCATCCTTTGTGATGGAGCAGAAGATGAGCTGTTGTTTATTAGCTTAGAAATTGAGGTGGGGCCGATATGGCAAGATTGGGCGTGGGGGAGGGTTCCGTATCGTAATTACAATAACTTTATCGTTTGGCGTGGTACTTTGGGAAAGAAAGCCTGAAGTTGTTCCCTTGTTGACAGTCTCGAGAAAGGGGGTTGCAAGAGGTGCTTGGGTTCTGCCATCTCTCTGCCCCAGCTACAGGAAAGAGTAGTAATGTAGCCTACTGGGCTGACCTGGAAGAAGAAGACCGGAGGTTACGGGGTGGCGGTGGCGGTATGAAAATGGGGAAGGAAAGAACCTTTAGATAAACTGGCTTTAGGTAACACAGAAAGGGGTGTGTGTGGAATGAGAGAAATGAAAAAAGACAATGACACCCACCAGCCACATGTCTGGACAGTGGCAGCTGCTCTCAAGCTTCAGTTGTGATTTATAGTTCAGACAGAGGAGATCGCGTGTAATGAAGCCACAGCAGGGAAAAACCCAAACAATACCTATAACCGCGGTAGGCAGATAACGATTTGTCTGGGGAGGGCCAGTGGTAGGTCTAGTGCATCCATCAATGAGGAAATTGTTAAGGGAGAAACCAGGACACTTAACGTACAGATGAATTCTAAATGATTACGCTTTTGTTTTATAGCCCTGGATGAGAGCGTCTTAGATCGGCAAGAAATTATAAGTGGGTTTTGAAAACTGTTTTTGAAGGGGAACAAACCATAACTTTATGCTAAAGTAAGGGGTCAAGACAGCTTAAAAACAACTTTGCATTCAAGTCTTGAAATCTGTGGAAGACTGTCTTTTAACTTATAAATGTTGTGGCTTCCTCCTCCTCTTTTTCCTGAATGTGAAAAACATCAAGTGGATTCCAGTTTAAATGGTGCTTTTTGTTGTTGTTTTGTTTTCTAATTTTTAATGTACAGTATAGTGGACTTAAGTAGTTCTTTCTTTTTCCCCTTCATTGGTCATAAGTTCCCATTTTGTTGTTCTTGTAAGGGTATGTTTCAAACCAGGTGAGTGAGAATACTGTTGTATAGTTGCAAAAACTGAATTTATGTTTGGTTCCTTAAAGGAATCACTAATTGGGGTGATATGAGTGGTTTTAGAATTTTTAAAATAAGTGTTCTCTGTAGGGTTATCAGTAACGTGCCTGGGTAAAGAACATAAATTCAAATTAAAAGCTTTAGTATTTAAGAACTAAGATTTGCCATGTTAGAGTGTGTGTGTGTGTGCAATTTTTCCTTTTTCTTTCTTTCTTTTTTTTTTTTTTTTTTTTTGGTGGGGGAACATGCAGACAGGCTTCAAGTAGCCCAGGCTGGCCTAATATTCCTTAGTAGCTGAGGACAACTTGAGCTTTCCTGAACCACCCGTCTCTGCCTCTGGAATTCTGGGATTACAGACAAGCACCATCATGCCATGTTTTAGAGGTGCAGTACAGGGGATAGAACTCAGGGATTCACACTTGATAGGCAGGCACTCTACCAATTGAACTATATCCACAGTCCGGAATACATTTTCAGTATGTTAAAGCATAAACATTTAAAGGTTTTAAGTAAAGTGTGTTGTTTATGTATTTTCCCCTTTGCAAATATTAATATAAATAAACACATTAATTGAAAGTTCATTGAATGAGAGTCTGGGAACCTTGTTTAAATCCTAGTTTTGTTACATTGAAGTATCACTGTGCTTGGACTTCGTGTGAAATTAAAGTATTAAACTAAATGAATGTGCCGTGAATGTGAATGAACTCTTCTGCTAACTTGTACATCTAGTATTCTCGCCGCTCTGATTACCATCTTTAAAAAGTCTGTAACTCCCTTAACTGAGTTCCTGGCATTTCTAGGCACATGAATTCTTGAAGCTGTGCGCACAAACTGCCATGGTTCTTTGAATCAGATTTTGCCAGCTAACTAGCACCAGAGTACTTTCTTTATAAGAGGCATTTTCCATGTTTCATAAAAATTACATTTAGCCCTCTATAAAGTACAGTTTCAGTATGCAATCTCATGGTAGATAACCCTTGATGAATTTTTTTTTCCTTGTAGTCATCCGTTAATATTAGGTTTGGGATAACTGCTATATATCCCTGATTGACTTGAAACTCATTATGTAGACCAGGCTTACCTTTGAACTATAGAACTTGTGGCAATCCCCCTGTCTCTGCCTCTCAGGTACTGGGATTACTGATGTGTGCTCCCATTGCAGGTGTGTGTGGCTATTGTTAAAACCCTTGCTGGATGGTGGTGGCACACTCCTTTAATCCTAGCACTTGGGAGGCAGAAGCAGGCAGGTCTCTGTGAGTTCAAGGCCAGCCTGGTCTACAGAGCTAGTTCCAGGACAGCTAGGGCTATACAGAGAAACCCTGTCTTGAAAAACAAACAAAAAAACAAAAAGAAAAAACTTGAAGATTCCTGTATATATTCATTCCCCCTTCAGATGTTATTGAGTGCTTAACACAGAGCTGAAAGGAGATGAACAGTAAGCAAGAAAATATGATATACCAGACTTTGATCCGTTTTTTGTTTTGTTTTGTTTGAAAACAATTTCGTTGACATTTAAGTGGAATTCAAATCATTGGTATTTGCAGTAAATTCATCCTCCTTTTATTATAATGACCTATTAAAAATAAGTTTTCTGTAAGTAATACTCAAAATTATAGCTTATGAATTCTTAAGAATGCTATCTTTTGACTAGAAGTATAGCCTTTTGTAAACTGTATAAGCCAAGTGCTGTGACTGATGCACATAATTCCAGCAGATAGATTGCCATGAGTGAGTTCCAGGCCCACTTGTTTGGGTTTTGTAGAAAAACCCTTTTCCACTCTCAGACACTACACAAAGGAACTTTTATTTCTACAAACAGCATAAATCTTTAAAGGGTATACAATTATTTAAAACTTATTTCCAATTTTCTAACATGTTAGATTTTGTTTTAAAGAATGGTTTAAAAGAGCCTTTCCTTGTTGAATTGGTAGGAAGCCCACAGGCCCAGGAACAGCTCCAGGTTGCCCTCTCTTGGTACCTGTCCTACTACAATTCTGTGCAGTGAACATTGAGGGATTCTAGGCTGCCCTAGCTTAGTGTGATCCATCCTGCTCTTGAGAATCCTGCATTAAAAATAGTCAGGCCATCTGCTGGCAGATGAGACAACAGCTGAGCTATTTTTAGTTTCAAAGAATTTAGGATTGTTTCAGGATTGAGCTTGAAGGTGGTGGCATTGTTTATCTTTGGGGAAGTGCAGTTGGGACATACCCCAGTCAGGCTTCTAGGTTCAGGAGTTTCTTTGATGTTAGGCTATAACTAAACTAGTTTAACTTCTGCCTTTAGATAGCTGTGAAATAACTCCAAGTGTCAGAATGAAAGTTCATGGTTGGAAACTGACACTGGTACCAAACAAGAGAGAAGGTTTAAGGAAGGAAGACATTTGAGTCAGTGATAAGTAAGGCAGGGAAACCTCCGGGATGCAAGAGAATGATCGAAGAATCCTTTAGAGAAGTCATTTTTGCTCAAACAGGATCAGAATTCATATTTTTCATCATATTGTGAAGTGATCCTATTGACTTAGCTTTCTTATGAGTCTGTTAACCAAAAACATAATTTACCCCCAAATC